TTAGCAAATACTATGTCACCTCTGACTCTGAGCATCTTTTTCCCTCAAATTCCTGCAAAGTTTGCTTTTCAATATGACAAATTTCATACCCAGTGTCAAGAAAAAATCAGGGAAGAGTTGAAAAGCATTTTAGAGAGTGGAGCAAAGCACAGCACACTCAGTTTTAAACTATCATTTATTAAACTGCTAACTGGAAAATCAGTTGTTGGTGACCTTCCTACTAAAACTCAAATCAGTTGCACACTGTTACTCCTTCTCCAGCCTCTTTTTACCTTCCTTGGTCAGGATCTTCCTTTAACCCCAAATTGTGGGCAATTGCATGAAACCAGAGTAAGAAAAGACTGATCTGCTTCTGTTCCCCCTTCACTATAGCCTCTCTGTTCATCTTAAGACAAATTGCCCTTGATCATGTCTCTTGGAGTCATAGCAGGATCATCCTTTTTTCACTGAGGTTGAGCTGCACAGTCCAAAGGTGTGCCGGAGGCATATGGAAAATGCAGACCCTGATACCAAATAACTTCACTACAATTCTCCAGTCTTTATCTCAAGGCCGACCTTCCTGAGCACTTATGGAGAAGTAGTGAATGCTCTGCTCTTTCACATGCTCAAAAACTTCGGAAGTGCTGTGTCTTCTGGCTGTATCTCTATTCCTTAGGGGAGACATGTATCTGTATATCTTGTCATGTAATTTTCTGTAATTCTGGATATAAGGCTCTGCAGAATTCTGCAGTTGATGCTGTAGGTCACTTTCTCACCTCCTGACTGACTGCACTGAAGAAAACTGATTGGTGAATTGTATGCAAAGCTCTCCAGCTGTATGTATATGTAATCATGGCTTTATAATCGAAAGAGAATTCACACTTAGAGGAGCAGGGGAAAAGGTGAGGCCATAAACTTGCTTTTCAGTGCTCGTGCCCTGTGTATAATGAGGTTGAATTGCCTGGGCCAAGACTGTGCAGTAAGCATGAGAAAATGCCGGCATATCTCCCATCTTTATCACAGGAACATCGTCTCTTGAAATCTGCTTGGGTTTGGCCTTAAAATATTTTTAAAAAACAAACAACAGTGTTTTATAATTTTGATCTTGATCTACAGCTGAAAGGCTGAAATCTGGACTGTAGCATCTGAGAAGGAAGTTGGTGAGAGGTTTGTGGATTGTGGGGAGAAAGAGTTTCAAGAAGCCATTGGGTCAGTTCTGTAAAAAGCTGATTGGCTAAAGAGGTTTTGTTTAGAAAGTGACAAATCTTTCCTAGAAACCTTTTCTTATTATTACCCAGCAGAGGAAGCAGTGCTCGATGGGTTCAGGAGTTGTAAATTGTTTGTTCAAAATCACATGCTGGGTTAGAAACAGAAAAGGATCTGTGATCTGCTCTCCTCTTGCAGAAGCTTCACTCAGAAGTAGAATTCAATTAGTGTAATTTTCATAGCAAATGAAAAGGATTTATTTAAAATTATAAGTGATACTTTCTGTAAGGGGGACAAAAAGGACTAGATAATTAGTGATTCTTAGTAGCAGAGGAAAAAAAAACACCAAACATTAAAAAAGCAGCTGGCTGTGTATACGAAAGTCAGCTGCCAATATGAAGGTTGTATCACTTATCCAAAGCCCTTTTCCCCTGGATTTTTCCCAGGGTTATCGTCTGTCTGTTTGAAAAGTTCCTTCCCTTTGTGAATAACCTTCCCCACTGTTCTGATGACACGTGTGATAAGGACTGACTGCTGAGAAAATTCAGAGAAAAATGTAACCAGAGCGCCTAACCAAGGTGGCTTCCTTTTCCTGTAGTCGGAAATGGTCCTCGTGGAGGCACATGACAACCACAGCTCCTGCTGTCTGCCCAAAGCTAGCAGTTCAACAGTGTGTTATGATCACCTTAGTTTTGCAGCTGGATGTGATCAGTTCTGGAGATGAAATGCTTGCTGGATCAGACAGTTAACCAAGCAAACTTCGAAGCTAACTTGGTTAATCTCCTGGCTGAATTTCCGAGTGAAATTAGTGAATGTTTCTATGCTGCTTTCCATGTGAGACAAACATATTCTGCTATGCAGAAGGAAAGTGGACCAAGAAAGCAGCTTTTCATGCCTTTCCACTCAGCTCTCACTGCCCCTTGGCAGTGCAAAGCAGTGCAGAAGCCGGCCTGCTGTGTAAAACGTCATAGCAGAGAGGTTGAATAAAAATGCAAAATTCTATGAATGACACTTGAAAGCATCATATTTTCCTGAGAGTGCAAATGCACTAATGGATTGAAGGGAAGAAAGATCATGCTACATTCACAGAGTTCTGGCAGTGAGCCATTCGGCATGAGCCTTTTTTAAAATGTGGAAGGGTTCCCCTTTGTAGATATCTTGTGGGAAGTGTCTCAAGACACATTCAGATGGTAGATGGATGAAATTCCTGGCATCCATAATAATGGCTTCCTTTAGGGAATCCTTGAGCTTGGACATCCTGGAAAGAAGGCACTGGAAATTAGTAACTCTTTGAGTACTCTTTCATCTGCAGACTGTCGTTCAGAATCCTGAGCTGCCTACTTATATTCATTCAAAGCACACCCCTGTGATAATTAAGTGCTGTAATCTCCAGCAAAAATTTGCAGTAATATTTTTTCCTGGGTCAAGGGACTTTCCTGTGTGCAATGGGACAGTGAAATAGTGATTTGCAGTATATGGGTGAGGAGTGAGTCAGCCTGGGAACAAGCAGTGATTGTGTGCTGCTGCAACAATGCAGTGTCTCTGCTGGCTTGGCGCCGAAGCTGGTACGGGCAGTAGAGAAACAAGAACTCCTGTTCCCAGACTAAAATTGGCAGATCTTTTCTATGGGCGGCTTTTGGTCTCCTGTGATATATCTTTTATAATTGGAGACACATTGTGGTAAAAATAGATCGCATGGAACTCCTTACGGTGTGTAACTGAGTTGTAAGACAGTCATCTTGTGATTAGCTTTTAACATTCCAAAATTATACACACTCCAGGCAAGAGTCTCCAAACCAGTTTGACTTCAGTGCTACAGGAAAATACAGAGGTATTACAGAATCACAGAATCACAGAATGGCCTGGGTTGGAAGGGACTTCAAGGTTCATGAATCTCCAACAACCCTGCCACATGCAGGGCCATCAACCTACATATTTAATACTAGACCAGGCTGCCCAGGGCCTCATCCAACGTGGCCTTGAACATCTCCAGGGACGGGGCATCCACAACCTCTCTGGGCAGCCTGTTCCAGCACCTCACCACTCTCTCTGTAAAGAACTTCTCCCTGATATCCAACCTAAATCTTTCCTCCCTCAACTTAAAACCATTTCCCCTTGTCCTGCTGTTATCTCCCCTTGTAAAGAGTTGATTCCCCTCCTGTTTGTAGGCTCCCTTTAGGTATTGAAAGGCTGCAATGAGGTCACCCCGCAGCCTTCTTTTCTCCAGGCTGAACAAGCCCAGCTCCCCCAGCCTGTCTTCATAGGGGAGGTGCTCCTCCCCTCTGATCATCTTTGTGGCTCTCCTCTGGCCCCTCTCCAACAGCTCCCTGTCCTTCTTGTACTGGGGGCTCCAAACCTGGACACAGTACTCCAGATGGGGCCTCACAAGAGCAGAGTAGAGGGGGACAATCACCTCCCTGTCCCTGCTGGCCACCCTCTTCTGATGGAGCCCATTTGCCTTCCGAGCCACAAGGGCACACTGCTGGCTCATGTTCAGTTTTTCATCTAACAGGACCTACAGGTCCTTCTCTGCAGGACTATTGCAGTCCTGCAAAAGGCTGAAGAGGGAGAATCTCATTGCAAACAAATAAATAATAATTGCTAAAAAATGACAAGTTGTTGGCTTTATTGTAGGTGCCAGCGTTGGACTTTGATGGCAAGTCCATAGGAATAGACTGAGTTTGGTTGGTAGGCCACAACGGAATGCTGAGGGCGCAGTGCAGTGCTAACTGCCTCTGGCACCATCACACATGCTCAGTCAATTTGAAACCCGCACGCATTACAAGTTATGTGTGCTTGTGTGTGTCTGTGAAGACATGTGGTTTTTGTTATTAAGCAGACATGTACGTTCTCTTATTTAATCATTAAACTTGGGTTTGTGTTATTTTGTAAAATGGTACGTTAACATGCTCACTGCAGCAGAAATATCCAGAATACTCGTGCAATCCCGACAGATTTTGTCATTTTCAGTGTCCCAAAGAGCTCACAAAAAGTATGAAATAATTTGCGATGTGTTTTTAATTAGTTCTGCGAGATGTGTATGATTAGTGTTTCTGCTGTTCTGACCACGTGGGGGCAATATATCAGTAATAATTGCCTAAACAAACAAGTGCCAGTTTGCTAATCCAAGCGTGCTCAGGGTGGGTTTCAGAGGCTGCACATTGTACCTGCATTTGTTCAGTTTTTCTCGGAATTTGTGAGCTCGATGAATCATAGATTTAGTGGCCACTTTTTTTTCCTCGTGAAAGTAACATAAGACGTTAAATGTTTTGTGATAAAATCTAAACCACAGATAAAATTAAAAGTACAAGAAAAGAACGGTGTGTATTTCAAAACATGGATGCATATTTCAAAATTATAAGTAGTTCCAAAATGATCTCATGTAAGCCTGGCTTTATAGTCACGAAAGGAGTTGCAAGTATAGAACTACAAAAAAATAACCAGGGACTCTCATTCTCCTTTTTGCTTTGTTTTGGGTACAGCTACTCCCAGAAACCATCATATCTGAGATGTTTGTATGCTGTTTTCTAATTACCTACTAATTAGCATCTCTTCTTTGTAACTCCCTCTCCATCTTACTGATAACTGCTGTTATGTGGCAATGTAACTTGTTTCCCTGACAGAGAAGAATATATTCCCAAAATCCGGCTTACAGTTTTACAAAATTAAAATAGTGATGCTATTGGTCAGCTGCTTTCCTTCCTGCTATGTGTCGCATCATTTAAACAGAACAGCAGTGCAGTGTATAGTATAAAAGTAGCTACAATTGGTGTTGTTCCTGAGTGCTTTTAAAGAGAGACAATGGACAGTGTGGCAATCATGCAGAAAATGTTTTTATTGTAGTGAATTTACACAGGAGAAAACCAAAACTCTGCCAGTTCCTGAGCCATAAAAGGAAAGGTGAGAGCTAACCAAAATAAGTTCCTACATGTAAAAACATTGCACTTCCTGTTGTCTTTACAAGGTTATAAGGACAACACTTAGATATGTTCTTTTCCTTTCTTTGAATTTTACAAATGATCTGCAATTTTAACTAATTAAAACTTGAATCTGGAATGTTTCCTCATGGGATTTATTTTTATTATTATTTCTCATGAGAGCAAAGTTGAAGACGATCTTTCCTTCTGTTTAGTCTGTCCAGTTTATTTAGACTAAAAGCATCTCAGGCCACTCAAGATTCACTTGGTACGTGCCTGTAATGACCCTGTAGGGCTTCAGTGGCTCTAAATCCAGGCTTAGTACACAATACTAATGCTGACTGGTGGTCAGATTGTTCTCATGGTTAGCAAGCAGGAGGAAGGAATGGCAGCAGGTTCAAGGGGCTCGATGAAAGAGTGAAGAAATGGCCTAGGTGGCAGAATAGCTATTCTCCTGTTGGGGTAACTGCTAACCCACTTCTTAATGCAGAAAATCAGCAAGGCATTGCATCAGCCTGACGCACACATGGCAAATGATATAGAATCTTCGACTATACAGAAAAGAAGAGGAAAGTGGGACAGGTACTTGGACCTGCCTACCTTTTAATTGTCCTTTTAGGGATACACATACAACACTGTTTATCAACTACTGACTAGTTTTCCCACACAACACGTTATGTGCATCATAGTCACTCATATTTTTACATACTTTCCCCCCATGAACACACACCACTCCTAGTGGAAGAAGGTGACATGTCAAAGTGACCAACACTTCAGAAGAGCCTCCAAGAAAAAAATGTTCATATGGAGCTAGCTTATTCCGGGTCCCTTGAAACTAATATCTTGCAAAACATAAGCAAAATATCTATCTTTACAGCATTTACTTTGTACAATGTAAAGAGGAGAGAGAAGATTTTAAACGTAGGATTCCTTAGCATATTGTATCTGCTCTACCTCAAAAATGGGCTGGCTGCACCGTCGTGCCACATACTCATGTTTGTTCTTTTGACAGGATTCAGACATGGCTCTCAGTCGGTACACTCCTGGGGTCACAGGTAAACTCACACGGGAGTTTATTCCAACAGTAACACTGAGAGTTTCAGTTTCTGCATCAGAATCATTCACTGCAGAAATCCTGTCGCTGGGTAGGTCCTTCGTAGCTGTACAGGCTATGCTCTGTGCAAGGCCAGTACACAGATCAGATGGCAAAGCGTCCTGGTTTGACACCTTTGATCTCATAGTCTGAACTGTGAGATTGCAGGAGGGAACTTGGGTGGCCATGCAGTTCTTAGTAGCTTCTTCGTAAGAGGGTGGTCTTCCAGGATTCCTCTGGTCTACCTCTCTGAACACTTCATCAGCTGACCTGAAACGTGACCTTCGCTGGTATGGCACATGCATTGGTTTGTCATCCTCGGGGCTGTTTTCCTGTACAATTCTGCAGGAGAACTGATCATCTTTCTTTGTGAAACTGTCCCTCTGGAAACCCACGTGTTTTCCAGGCCCCCAGCTCTGTTGTTTTGTTAGTGTTTTCCGGTGGTTTGCAAAAGAGAATGACATAGAATGCTTTTTGATCTCTCGCCTAATTGTGCTACAGTCTTCATGAGGCTTGGTGCAAAAGGACTGGGGCCTGTTTAAGAAGTTTTTTTTGGGACTAGAGGGTGAAACTAATGGGGAGCTGGTGAAGACTGAGCCATCAGAGCTCTCTAGTGAGCAACTGGAGGATGTTTTAGATAGAGAGTCACTTGATAGTTGTGAAGGTAAGATTGCAAGTCGTTTGTCCAGCACCTCATTCTCCAGACCTAGCTGCTTCTGCTGAACTGGAAAACTGTCCTCACTTTTGTTTAGCTTCTGTTTCCTTATTTTGCTTTCGAAACGGTCCTGGAATGATAGGTCTGGCTCTGAGTACCTCCTGTCCATCGTGTTGATGTCATTTTTGCAAATAGTCAGTGATGTGGCAGAGACACACGCTGCATATCTTCTGCTCAAACCAGTGCTTCTTCCTTTGGGTTGCTCCAGCTCAGAAGTACAGCATTCAGCTTCAGGATCTGGGCTGTCATAGGCAGAGTCATTCTGATGAGTAGCACACAGGCGTTCTGTGGGGACAAAGCACCTGTTAGTTTCTACTGGCCATGTAAGAACAAAAGGGAACTATCTGGAAAATATTCCTGTAGAAGTGCAATACAACAGGTTCTTTTAACATTTGTTTCCACAGATGTATTCCCATATCAAACCTAAAAGCAGCAGCCCCAGTCTGTGACAATCCCTCCTCCATTCTCTTACCTGTGGAGCTGTCTATATGCTCTGGTGACTCCACAGCCAAGGTGCTGACAGGCCATAGAATGTCCTCTCCAAAGATTTCTGAGTTGTTTTCTATAAGAAACTCCACCAATACAGTCACCTGCACACAGAAAACCATCTATTTCAATCAAAGGGGCTGAAAATAGATTGAACAGTCTTTCCTGCTGCTGCCCAATGTCTTTGTATGATGAAGGGCTGCACAGAGAAGGATGGCTTCTGCCAAAATCCTTGCCTGTACCACGAGGCCTGACACCACAGATGAACTGATCTGCCCTGGTACCATAAAAAAAATGCCATCAGCCACAGTTTAGCACTCCCCATAGGGTGTGTGGTTAGCAATGCCCACAGGATACACGCTGCAGACATGTGGGATGAGAGGCAGCCACACAGCGGTGCTGTTCTCTTTTGTGTGGCCTTTGCTGTAGCAGAGGGATCCCCGAGGATGGGTCTGAGCTACCCAGGGAGAGCAGCTGGTAGGTGAACCCAACTCACCTTGTCATTCATCTCCTTCTGCACCTCCAGCGGCAACGTGCTGCCTGTCCCCGGGCTCAGCATGTTCGGGCCTACGCAGATGGCAAGGTTGTTGGCGTCCATCCTGCTGATGTCAGCGTTCTGGCTGATGCGGTGGAGCACAGAGAGCAACTGCTTGAGCAAGACCAGGTTTGGTCTGGGCAATTTGTCAGCCACCCTAAGTGAAAAAAGGCAAAATGAGACGTTAATTCCTGGTGCGGTGGCTGCTACTTCTTAATTTGAGCAAGTCTCAGTTGCACATGGACAGACAGCACTTCCTCCAGAAAAAGGAATGTCTATGCTTTCACTACTTTGCAGAAGTATCATTCAGAAATCCCCAACAGCAGCCGAGCTTGTGGGTAAGAAAAAGATCCTGAATTATGTGGTCTTGACTGAAGGGAAACACTACAGCATCCTGTGTCACTGAGCAGAGGAGGCGGCATCAGAAAATATCACCAGAGGTTCCTAAGGGTGTGTGAAAGCCTGTGGCTGTCACACAGCTCACAAAGCCCTTTCTGCCACCTTTCACCTCTGGTCATTCTGAAGGGCACAGCACAGGGCCAGCCTCACTTGTCCAACCCTGTGGCCATCAGGCCTACAGCTCTCATCAGCGCTTGCTACAGCATACAGTGACAACATTCACTGTGACACCATCAGCTCCCTCCTCCTGCTGGCTATAAGTGATTCCTAGAGCAATCCCAAATACCTCCAGGAAGTGCTTCTGCTAGAGAAGTGCTTTTCTGTGCTGATTGCTCTACAACCCCCACAGAAACAATTGCAAATGGAGAAATGGGTTTTTAAATGAGACTCAAGTTCCAGAGAAGGTGCTGGCCACTACCAGCCTCTCCATCACACCTAGACTGGTTGCAGAACTTGCTGGTTGCAACACTTACTCTTTCAGTTCTTCAATTTTTTCTTGCTTGCTTGGCTTCTCCAGAGCTAGCATCCACTTGTCATACAGGTCATCTGACAGAAGTTTGGAGGGAATATTTCGGAGGAAGTCCTGCAAAGGCAAGAGACTGAGATGAGATTATGGACACTAGGGGAACATGGCTGCTACTTGGGCTCTCTACAAGGCAGGTTGGCTGGAGCTACCTGCTCTCAAAGGTGGCCATCAGCTCTACAGAGAAGCAGGCTTCAGAGGTACATACTGTGTGCCCTTACATCAGTGCAATAAGGGTTTATAGCTATTATGTGCTTCTTGCTCATCCCTAAATCTCAGTGTTCCTCACAGAAGAGGATGCTGAGGAGGAGGAACTGAGTTGGGCATGCAGAAAGTCAGCAGCAGAAATGGAGCTGAAAATCCATCGCAAAAGGAGAAAGCCAAACTTTCCCATGCCTAAAACATTTAGTTTGGTTTCACTCTTTCTTTCACCTGGAGTCCCACCTAAGCCAAATCTCCGCATTACAGTGTGCCTGAGCAAATTGGCTATGTTCTCCTACAGCTGAAAGTCAGAGGAATTTACCTTCAAGACCACTGCCAGTAGGTGCACAGTTTTGCTTTCCAAATCAACATTCCCGCCTTTGTTTAGATCCTCCTTCAACTCCTTGCGTGCTTTCTCATTGGCAGCTTTTCTGAATATCCCTTCAGTGGAAGGTCCTTTCATGTACAATATAGTTAGGAGATCCTGCAGGAAGAAAATAGACGGGGATGGGGAAAATGTTATTGTGAGTGAAGAAAGGTCCATTAGCAGGTGAACATTTCGTTAGATACAGGAGAAAATAAAATGACTGTAGGTATACTCTGCTTTATGTGGACCAGCATCTAGTTCTATCTCCAAGTAGGTTATACTGGTAATAATCTGATTTTTCCCCCAAACCAAATTATTTTTGTACTCCAATGGAGTCATCCCAACTTCCTTCCAGAAGGAAACAAGAGGTGGCTCCCAAGCCAGGCTGAATGCCTAGAAAATATTTCTTAGAAGAGAAAAAAGCCTGTGCACTAGAAAAGCCAACTCAGTGGAAGAAATTTTGCAAGATCATTTTTAACTAGAAGATAAGTCTTTGAGTATTTATCAGTGGCAGTCCACAGCTGAATGATACTTCAGGGAAACACAGAAATCCCTGAATGTCTTTGCTGCTGAAAGATTTGTTGATATGACTTCTGTAAAACCACTGAGCAACAGATCTATTTCTCCCATTCCTGGTCCACAATGTCTCCACTTGAAGTAATTTCCAATGGAAGTTGCATAGAGTGGACAGAACTTGCACATCTGATCCATTCTACAACTGGGAGGAGCTCTGAGCTTTTCAGAATTGTGCATGGAGAGGAAACACCAAAACCACTAATTTCCAGAGTACTGTAGCAGAAGCACAGGGGATCCTGCCTCACTCTGGAAGCCAGAAGTATGATAAACATATCGCTAGGATTGCTTACCTGGACTGGCTGGGGCAGCATGTCATCTTCCCCACAAATAATTGCCAGAGGCTGGCCAAACAAGGTGATCTTGAGGCCGGAGTCCAGCTGCCCCGGGGAATCTCCACTGGTGGAAGTGCGTCTCAGAGCAAATGGCCACGATATCACTTTCTTTCTTTTCTTTGTTCCATCTGCTGCAAACAAAGGAAAATTAAAAAAAAAAATCATTTAAAATAAAACAACAGAGTTATGCTTCCCTTCATCTGCGTGCAGTGTTATGTGATGTGGAGTGAAGAGCAGAGGTGTATGTTGAGGCAACAACTCAAACTAAATGGGTAGAAACTGAAAGATAACCAAGTTGTTGCTAAGGAAACAACTGCCTAAACTTTAGAACTCTGACTATCCCTCTAAGGACACCACCTTTCCTGTTTTCTGACTTTTTTTTTACACTCTAGCCACTATTTCCTCTTAGAGAATGGGAACATACAGGGCACAGAACTAACGGTACATATCTGACATTTATAGAGATTTTTGATATTGCAGAGGTTTCTGTGATAGCTGTCTAAGGTAGATTTGTCACTTGGGCAGCTTACAATGACAATTTCCACTATGCAGTCTTGTCCATGAAGGATACATCTCCTCTAGAGTTGAGCATCACTTTTGGGCTGCATTGGCTTCAGGGTCAGAAATCTCTTAGCAAGTGTTAAAAGCTATGAGAAAATCACAATGCTATGGAGTCGTATAAAACTTGCTTCTGATAAGCCTGAAAATCAGTGTGACAGGACAGCTTGCTCCATTTCTGACCCTGTACTGTGCTGGTTCTCTTCCCAGTTGTTTGCACCATGAGAGCAAACAAGTGCAGCTCTGCTGCAGCTGGGTGTGTTTGCCCTGGTGTGTAAACATATGGGTAGCGGTGAGCAGCAGAGCCGCACCCCAGTGGAGATGCTCCTGTCAGAAAGCAGCACGTGCACTGATGTTGCTGCCAAGGACAGTTTAATCTGGCTCTGAGGACCATGGAATCGGGATGCACAGGCAGGCATCATCATCATCTGCAATGAGCAAAGGGAGGCCGCTGCCTCGCGGGTCATGGTGGGGCTTGGGCTGCACTGAGGGGCGTGAGGTGAGCGGTTCTACACGAGCATTGCAAGCATTATATAAGAAGGTAGTTTCTCAATTTGTTTTTAAAACTCACCAGCCAACTGGCAAAGTCTGTCCTCAGTGTCAGCTGGGCCCAACAGGGGGCATTTCTTGGCATCAGCCTGCAAGAAGCACATCAGAGTTACAAGAGGGCCTCGAGCAACCTGATGCAGCCACACAGAAACCCATGAAAGGCCCAGGAAGCGAGCAGAGTGACCGGACAGCTGCCGAGGGAGCCCTGGGCCCAGCTGTGATGCTGCTTTGCTGCCCAACAAGAGTGCATGGCAGCCACCCTGGGTGTTGCCCAGCCAGTCACAGCCCCAGCGCTGAGTTAGACAGCTGCTGTGACTCCAAGAAGCCACAGCAGGACACGAGCTGTCTGAATGTGGGGAGGGGGAACAGCCTGCCCATCTGCCTCCCCCCCGGCACTGAGGATCTCCTCCCAAACTCTGCCCATGAGGAAGGGCTCTCTGCCACCGGGTCCTGACCGGGGTGCGCAGCAAGGACAGAGATCTTGCCTCAGTGCCCAGCAAAGAAAAGAAGGGAAAAAAAGTAGCAACTGCTTACCTCTGATGGGCGCTCAATCAAACTCTCCATGTTTCCAGCATTTAGTGTCTTTGACTAGGTAAGAAAACAAAGACCGGGTGTGAGTTATTTAGTGCTACAGTTTAGAGATCAGTGCTTTTCAAAGTCGCTCTGTTGACAGAGCTGAAATAATGACACTCACAGTATTACAGCTGCTAAGCACTTTCATTAGGAGTTTAACTGGGGGAGCTCTGCACTGTCTGGTTCCTCGGGTCCTTTTGTTTGCCTGTTTATTGAACAAGGAACAGACAAAAAAAGGAGCTTGGTAAAGCTGCACCCTTCTTTCCTTCCTTTCCTTTCTGCCCCACAAGCCAGCCAAGCATCTCAGCGCAATCCTGACCAGAAAGATCGCCCACCCGGGTGAGCCATAAAGCAGCGCTCGCTGAAAGCTCCCTCTGTAATGCCCTCAGTCCTTTGCTCTGTTTCCCCCTTCATTCACTCAGACAAAAAGCAGCTTTCCATTTTTAATGCACGCAAAAATGAGCAGGCAGTGACAGCTATGTGGGACTGTTGATTTGCAAACACAAAGCTAAGCAAGCCAGTCAACTCTGCCCACGAACTGTCGGTGCACATCTCTGTACAGCTGTGCCTGGGGCTCCCCAACCGCACCCCAACAGCGCATGTTCGTACCCAGGCTTTGCTTACCCAAGGAGTGAGTCCCGCTGGAGCTCCTTCACCTCCTGTGGGCTGCAGAGGACAGGGCAAGCAGCATCGTTCCCCTGCTGCTAATCCTTTGGGCGGGCGCAGGCGACTAAACAGTTCTACCCCACGTGTGCTGCCTTATATAGTGCAGAACAGCAGGTGGAAATTCACAGGCAGGAAGAAGCATCATGGGGCAGGACTGAGATGCTGCGACATTTCTGGCTTCCTCTTTCCTTTTAGAGGAGCTCTGTGTTGTTGGTTTTTTTTTTTTTTTTTCCTTAAAGAAGAAGAGAAAAAAAAACACCCATGTATCTGTTATGCATGGAAAGGATGAGCCACTTGCCAGGTAAATGTTCCATCTCGCATCACTGCTGCGAGGTGGGATGTGCAGAGGGGGCTGTGGCGTGGGCAGTGAAAGGGCAGTGGGCACCACCTGTTCTTTGGGTCCCAGAGATCAGAGATTGTGCAGTTTCAAGATGCACTGCTAGATTGACTTGCACTAAGAATAATTAAAAAGAGGAGGAGTGAAATAGCCAAAGTTCAGAGAAATGTTTTTGTACATTTTTTACAAAACTAATCACAACAGTTTAATGTCTGAAAGCAGTGCAGACACACACTTTGCAGGTGCCAATTAGTTCCTGAAAATCCAAGTGTCAAATAGGCTGGAAATAGATTATCTGGTAAAGTTACACTGAGCTGTGAGCTATTCATTGCTGATATGAAATTTAAAACAAGATGACTAGAAAGGAGAACACTAATGCTATTCTAAATGCTGTTCTGCTTTAAAAGAAGAAATGACGTTAGGTAGTAAACAGTTGCATATAACAATATGTAATAAAAACTCTTGATGAAAATACTTCTTAATTAGAATGGTGTGTCCAAGTAATAAAAGATCAATCCATCTAGAGAGCTCAAAAAAGCCATCAATTGTGAAAGGCATGTGCAGGCTTTACATTGACCAAGTGAATTATGATACGGTATTCTGGGCACCAGTCTTGACATAGGGGGCTGGAACTGAGAACCAAAGGGCTGCCAGTATTTCAGCAGTGGGTCCAGCAGGAAAGTTGGCTGCCTTGCTGAACTGGTCTGACTGGTGCTTCCCCTGGAGGATGCTCTACTTCTTGTCTGCAGAGGACAAGGCTGTGTCACAGATGCACATCCGCTGCCGAATTCACCCTTAAAGCTGCTCTTTGCATAAGCACATCAGATCTGTCCCATGGAGTATTGACCCAGGGATGTCTTTGCGAGGCAGACAGCTGGTGGCAACTCGGTTCTGCCTGGCAGAAATCCATGGTACAAAGCTCACTTCTGGCTAGACAGAAATGCGTCTGGAAGGAAAAGAGGAAGGCTGCTCTTCTTTTCAGGGGGTGGAGGTGGTGTGGGTGAAATTTCAAGTTCTCCTGAGGTTTTGTAGTTTCAGTGCTTCTGTGGATACACCCTTCTGTAGACTAGAGAGGAAACTTACATGAATCAAAATCACTTACTCTACAATCCTGTGCATTTAACGCTGATTTTTCAGTTACCACTGTAACTGATTTTTTGTTAATTAGGAGTCCCATGAGCCTACACTACAGACGCCATTTCCTTACTACATTCCATGGGCTGATTTACATTGCTACAAAAATATCGCTATCCTGCATTGTGTTCTCTCGAGAATTTCTTCTGAGGCTCCTTGGCAGCTGCAGCACCCCTGCTGATGGTCCCAGCAGGACTTGTGGTACATGTACACGTGTGATAAATATGCATCTGAATGTATCAGTTTATTAAGCACCTAGGAGGCATGGGGGACCTCTGCAATTCAATTCTGAGTTGCCCTCTCTCCCAGCACTGTACACAGGCATATTTCTGAGCTCAGTTTGTTTCACGATTAAGACACAGCATTTGTTCTGGAAAATGTGTGACTGGTGAAGAAAATGAGAGTTTAATGGGTGGTGATCAGCTACACCAGAAGCTTAGGTTACAAATAGGACACAGCTGTACACAAGCATAATGCTCTGAGTTTCCCAGGAGGCGAGCTACAGTAATGAGACTGTATGGACAGCACATACTGGGCAGCCAGTTGGCACGCACTGCTCTATCTCCATCTAATTAGGTCTCATTTATTAACAGTTCAGAGGATTTGGCTATTGTATTATGTGTGTAGGCCTTCTTGTACATATGGAAAACATTGGTGGTTTTTTTTTGCTCTCATTATTTCACTTGCTTTTTATAGCTTTTATATGCTGTGCATCACAAACACTTAATTTGTGCAAGAATGACTTTGAAGCAACTTATTTCACTGCAAACAAGCATGTTCCATCTGAATAGCAGGCACAACAAAAAGCTGTGGCTCGGTGCAGTGATTACATGGCCACCCAGCACAGAGCCTGGCTGTGCTTGGGGAAGGACAGCAAAGAGCTCCTATGTGTTGGCTACTGCCAACATTGTCTCAAAGGCATTGTCTCAATGGCTCCACAGCCTCCTCTACCCTCAAGAAATGGGCCGTGTGGATGTGAGCACCAACGCCAACCTCCACACTGAGTATTAGCAAGTATCAGGATGTGTGACAGGGAGCTTAGAGGGATTTTGCAGGACTAGCCTCATGTTCAGGCCATGGCTGCCCGGGTCGACTCCCAAACACTGTGGCCAGCCAGTTTCTGAGGAGGTTTGTATACCGCTTGCTACTGACACATACTGAATTGAGACATTCCCTTCTTTCTAACCTTCTAAACTGAGGTCAAGCTGAGAGGTTTCTTTTCCTGCAGATCTTACTCCCAAGGCTGTAGCAATAAAGAGGCAACACCAGCTGGGAGAAGGAATCAGGGTCTGATGGTGAGAAGAGAGAGGCAGGCAATCTGCTGCGGCTGGAAAGTGTCTGTTTTTGTTCCCTCCCTAGCAAACCACAAATGGGAAAATCCCAGCCACAGCTCACTTCTGTCTGCTTCAACACGACAGAGGCACATTTTACATTATGGTTCTTAAAATTGGGAGTGTGAACAAATCCTGACACTTGTTTTAGTGGTTTTGTCCTACCAGCAAGGAGGCAGTGGAAGGATGCGCCTGAAGCAGGGACTCCATCAAGCCCATATATAATACAGCAGGAAGAGCCAAGTTCTGCATCAGTGCGTCTCGATATGGAAGATAGTCTGGATTCCTGTTACATCTTCACTGGCGCAAATGCAGTCTCCTAGGGGAACAGTAGGAGCATTTACCAAAATAAGGAAAGCAATTGTGCCAGAGTCAGAGTTGTGTTTTTGTGTGGAAAGGAAAGCTTTGTGTGATCTGTACGCAGAGCCAAAGAACAGAGTGTGTAGACCGTGGAGAACAGGGTACATTTACATCTGACCTCTCAGGGCAGCTCTCATTTCCTACCGCTTTCCAGAGTGGATTGCAGATCCTATAGGCACGGTGCAAGGTCTGATCACAGAAAGGAGGCTGGTGTGTGCTGTCATGAAAACAGTCCCTGACCCTTCCAGTGACAACTGGAAAAAAGAGCTAGATACATTAACCCAACTGATGCCAAAATACTGGAGTTAGTCTTGTGGGATCTGGACTCAAACAAACCCTGCTTTTGGAAAGTGAAACCCACTGTCAGTTTTTCCCAGCTCTGCTCTGTTAGTTTTTATCCTTAATCAGATATCAGACTGCAATGTGGGTGCACCACCCTTCTACACACTGGGTAGCTATTGCACAGGAAGGAGTTACAGAACAAAAATAATACTACAAACACAACCTAAGGAGTATTCTGTGCCCTTCTCATGACACCCACTTTTTGTTTGTGCTTGATTTGCACGATGGTTTGTTTATTCTTTTGTGGGCACTCCCTCCTCCCCCAAGAATATGTTGGCAGTTCTGAAGATTTTTACTAGTCATCAGCTGACTGATTCCACTGAGTGCTTTTCCGATGTGGAGGACTGGTGCATGCAGATTGTTTTTTTCAAAGGGTCTGTGCTAGTGCACAGCTTGCTGGTGTATCTCAGGAGATGCTTAAGAGTCACTTATTCCCTGGACTCCCTGAGGTGGCCAGCAGAAAGGCCTCTCGGAACTTAGGTTGCCCTTCAGTTCTGACTGAGCAGATCTAGATATCAGTCTTTGTTTACTCACAATGAACAAAACAAAACAAAAAACACACACACAAAAAAAGAAGAACTCGTAATTAGGACTTAATTCTATTCACTTCAAAATTTCTTGTTGAAAATACTCGAAAAGTATCAAAAGTGAGAATCTACTTACTTATAACATTTTCTTTTGTTATTCCAGCAGCATTCTCACTTGCATCTTTATCTCATTCATTTATTAATCAGAAACTGAGCTGGTGCTTTTCTGTCAATTTCACTTGCTCTCACAGGAAGATGATATTCCCTATCACAACCAGAGCAATATGAATCTTGATTTTGCTTTTCAGGATTAATACAAGTGCTTTCCTTTTATACTTTTGTTGACATAAGCTTGTATCTTTCCTTCCTCTGCATCTTGTGTTTTGCTTTGAATTTCAGTATCTAAACCATCTCAAATCTTAAAATGAGAATCAGTGGAAACGAGAGTACATGGATTTCACACTCATTTCCTACTTGCATGTGATTTTCAAGTATAACACACTTCACTTTCACTCAGTGTAATAATCTGCAGGCTGCCAGCGTCATAGGAACTCATCCATAAGAAAACCCAAAAACTTGGCCTGAGTGAAATTCTGGGGTTCATTTTGTATGTGTCATACCAATATAAAAACTAGAGAAGAAAACCAGGCTCACGAGTGGCAAGACCTCACAGCTCAAGCATTTAGAGTGGGAGCTGCTCCAGGCACAGCAGCTCCCTGTTGCCTTGAACATGGCTGTCACTGGATGCACTCAGGAAAGATAATCAGAAGGATCTGGAATTTCCTCTCCAGTTGGCTTCGTGTGGTGATATGACAGAACATCCCCAAACTCCTCATCATGGTGATGCCTTTGTGAGTATGTTGTTCCTATGCTGTACCTACTGCCTAGGTAGTAGGGCCCAAATGCCAGTAACCAGATCCTCATAGCCTCTAAATGAATCGTGAATGGAAACATTTATGGCCACACATCTGGACTCCATCCTCCAGGCAAATGTAATATAAGGCAAGGCAAATCTTTCCAAGCGTAACTTTGCTGGCTGGAGTCAAACTCC